ATAGGGAATATAGTCAGTGATATAGTAATAACTATGTATAGCAGCAGTTCTCAACCTTTCACAGGGGTCGTCTAAGACCATCAGAAAACACATATTTTCTATGGTCTTAGGAACCGAGACACCGCTCCTCTATCCGTCTCCAGGCCCACATGCAGATACGCCCACATACGAGTACCTGGCGACCCCTGTGAAAGGTTCGTTCGACCCCCAAAGGGGCCACGACTCACAGGTTGAGAACTGCTGATGTATTGTGTCAGGGAGATACTAGACTTAATTGGGCGATCACTTCGCAAGTTATATAAATGTCTAGTCACTATGTTGTACACCTGAAACTAATAAAATGTTGAATGTCAACTGTAATTGGGAAAAAAGAAAGTAGAATGGTGGTTGCCAGGGACTGGGGGAAGGGAAATGGGGAGTTACTAATTAACAGTACCCAGTTTCTGTTTTGCAAGATGAAAAGAGTCTTGGAGATTGGTTGCACTACAATGTAAATATATTTAACACTACTGAACTGTACACTTAAAATAGTTTAAGTAAACTTTAAAATGGTCAATTTTATGTTATGTGGATTTTACCACAATTTTTTAGAAAATTTTGTCAATAATAATAGTCAATGGTTAAGACAGTAAATTTTATGTGTATTTTCCACCATTTTTTCAAAATGCTGCTGATGGTAATAATAGAGCCAGCTTCACAGAGTTGCTGGCTGTAACAAATAAATCAGCATCTATGTGTAAGAGGCTGAATGAAATCAGTGACCTATCCATCCTAAACCCTGAATAACGTTTAATCTTTAATATTGTTTACACATGAATTAAGAAAACAGCCTTAGAGCCTTCAGACAACTCATCCAGTCTCCCCCTCCCCCACTCCTTCTCACACGCACGCAGGCAGCTTCCAGTTCCTTGTACTTTCATCTGGAAAATGGGTCTTTTCCACCCTTGGCATGGAGCCAGACTTAGCAACTGCATGCTAGGATTGTCGAGGTCTCTACAACTATCTAGTGAATACTCGTCCTGTCTCCTACAGAAAAGGGGTTACCCAGACTTACCGGACTGTTGGAGCCCACCCTGGATCACTGGATAGGAGTCAGTGAGGTTGTAAGCCAGTGAGGAGTAAGCCAGGTGGAACTAGAGCTGATAATGGCTCTAAAACAGAGCTGGAAACCCATACCAGATTGTAACTCTATCCTGGGAGGGCAGGGTGGGGATGAGAGTAGCCGGGAGCCTCTGTTCTGATGCTATCAGAATGTCTATGGTTATTACTACCTTCAAGGCGCCCTACTAAGATTTTTTAAATTGTGGTAAAATACATATAACAAAATTTGCCATCTTAACCATTTTAAACTGTTCAGTTTGGAAGTGTTAAGCACATTCACATTGTTGTGCCATCACATCTCGAGAATCCTTTTCATCTTGCAAAACTGAAACTCTGTCCCCGTTAAGCACTAACTCCTTCCCTGTCCTCCCAACTCTGACACCCACCATTCTACTTTCTGTCTCTGCTAATTTCACCACTCTAGATACTTCATAAAAGTGGAGTCATACAGTATTTGCCATTTTGTGTCAGGCATACTGCACTGAGCGTAATGGCCTCCAGGTTCACCCATGTTGTAGTGTGTGTCAGAATTTCTTTCCTTTTTTTTTTTTNAAGCAACGTCCTCCACAACTAGATTGAAGAACAAAACGACAGCAACTTGTCTGTTCCCCTTCCCCAATCCCCCAGCACTGTTCCCATCCCCCCAATTTCCCAATAAAAATCTTTAAAAAATAAAAAAATAAAAAATAAATGACATCATTTTGTAAAACTCTGGTCTCAGTACAGAGGAAGAAACTTGTCAGTCTAAGTCAATAGCTCTCTGCTGGAGGTGACTTAGTTCCCCAATGGACATTTGGCAATGTCTGGAGATATTCTGATTGTCCCATTTGAAGGGGTAGGTGCCATATCCTACAATGATTTTTTTTTTAATGAAATCTTAGGACCATTTGAGATCTTGCTTCCTGGCATGTCAGTTTGGCTCAAATAGACTCAAAATTTTTTTAAAAAATGAAATCTCATAATGCACAGAACAGACCACACACACACACACACACACACACACACACACACACACACACACTAAAAATGATCCAGCTCAAAATGCCAGTGGTGGCAAGGGTGGAAAACAATGGTCTATATCTTGCCCTCCTGCCCTTCCCACCACAGATTCCCCTTTCCAGTCTCTAATTCCTCCCACCATTTTGCCACTCCAAGCTTTTCGATCCCAGCTTCCCCTCCAAGCCCCACTATCCCCATTCTGTCCCTGACCCCTGCCTCACCAGTGAGCAGCAGCACCAGGCCCAGCGAGAAAAAGTCTGGGTACTGGGTCAGGTGAGGCACATGCAGAGAGAAACTCCTCTGCAAGACCCGTGAGATGTGGTTCCCAGTCACGCTGTCAATGGCGGAGCTCCAGGCCCTGGCCACACTGGCACTCCCTGCAGGGCAGAAGAAGTAACATTCATTTGCAATTTGCACCTCCACTAAGGCACCATGGGATATATTTTTTGGGGGAAAATAAAGACAAAATACCTAATCTCAAAGAGTTTTTTTTCTTTTTAAGGATTGGGGACAGCAGACACAGATGTTTTACAGAACAGGTAAACTTTTTAATGTAATAGGAGACCAGTGTTGTGCAAGTCAACAGGGAAGTGGGACTGGAGGGCTGGGAGATGAGTGTTGATATTTTAAATTAGGTGGTCAGGGAAAATTTTACAAAGGTGACAGCTGAGCAAAGGCCTCACAATAGTGAGCCTTGGGGAACGTGTCTCTCTCTCACACACAAGAATTCTTCCCCGCTTCCTACAGTTCCTATTTCTTCCTGGTTCTTAATTCAGTAATTTAAGGAAAGCAGGATAGAGTTGAGTAGAATGAAGTCTTAGAGGGTTTCCTGACACTGTTATGCACTTCCCCTCACAAGGTGGACAAAATGTTCATGAATGAGGGTGAAGACCCCAATCCTTCCTCCTATGTTCCTGATCTTAGGCCCTTTCTTTCCCCCACAATGGTCTCATCGTCTTACCAATGACATAGGAGAGTATGAGGGTCCATCCAGTGATGAAGGCACACAGTTGTCCCACTGTGACGTAGCTGTAGAGATAGGAAGAACCAGAGCATGGTACCCGGGCCCCAAACTCCGCATAGCAGAGCCCAGACAACACAGAAGTCAGGGCGGCCACCAAGAAGCAGATGACAATCGCCGGTCCAGCTTTGTCCTTGGCCACTGCACCAGCCAGGATGTACACTCCTGCTCCCAGGGTGCTGCCCACACCCAAGGCCACCAGATCCAGAGTGCTCAGACAACGGGCCAAGTGGCTCTCAGACCCTCCCCTGGTCTCCAGGGGCCGCCTGCGGACCAGCTTCTGACCAAATTGGCGAACATGCTGACACAGCATCCTAGATGGAGTTGAAGAGGCTAAGATCTGCAGAGAAAACAAGACAGAAAGCCATCAAGAATGTACATCCAGGGCCAGCTGAGTGGCTCAGTTGGTTAAGAGAATGAGCTCTGAGCAACAGGGTCACCAGTTCGATTCCCATATGGGCCAGTGAGCTGCACCCGAGCTGAGCTGCTGCTGAGCTGCCAACAGGTGACAAGATGGCTAAGTAGTTAGAGCATGAACTCTTAGCAACAAGGTTCCTGGTTCGATTCCCACATGGGTTGGTGGGCTACGCCTGCCCGCAACTAAGATGGAACACAGCACCTTGAGCTGAGCGGCCCCAAGCTGCCAATGAGCAGCCAGATGGCGATTGGACTTGGAGCTAAGCGAGCTGCGCCCTCCACAACTAAGATTGAAGCACAACAACTTGGCTGTTCTCCTTCCCCAATAAAAAATTAAAAAAAAAAAAAAGAATATACATCCACCCTTGGTCCTGGCAGTAGGAAACAAGACCAATTCCACAGGACAAGGGTTATAATGGGTAAGTCATCCATCTCCGAGGCTTGGTTTCTTCAAATGTAAAAGGGAGGAAATTTCCTTCCTTTAAAAGGAAGACACAGGGCCGGCCAAGTGTCTCAGCTGGTGAAGAGCTCACTTGGAAGTGCCAGCTCTGAGCAGCAGGGCCGCGGTTCAGATCCCACATTGAGGGCCAGTGATGCTGCGCCCTCTACAGCTAAGATGATGAACAACAGCTCAACCTGGGGCTGGGCTGCTGTGAGTCACTGGCGACAGCATAGGCTGCAGCGGGACTGCAGTGGGCTGCCATGAGCTATGTGAGTGGCTGGCAGTCAACGTGAGTGGCGGCCACAGGCGAGAGCTGCCGTGAGCCACCGTGAGCTGCCGACCAATGACCAGCGACCGATTGCCTCACTCGGGAAGAGCGCAATGATCACAATACCAACATGGGCCAGTGAAGCGACGTCCTCCACAACTAAACTGAAGAACAAAACAGCAATTTGTCTACCTGTCTGTTCTCCTTCCATGATTCTCCAATGCTGTTCTCTTCCACCAACTCCCCAATAAAATCTTTTTTTTTTTTAAAGGAAGACACAAGCTACAACATGAATAAAATTTGAGGACATTATGGTAAGTGAAATAAGGCAAATCACAAAATGTCAAATACTGTATGATTCCACTTCTATGAATTACCTAGAATAGTCAAATTCATGGAGACTTTTAATACATCTCAAAGTTACTGGAAGGATTTCTTGAAGACAGAAGCAAGCAAAAGCTTCCAGTACAGTCCCTGGCACATAGTAGCTGCTTAATTGCTATGAGTTGAGTAGATAAGAACGCTGAATTCTGAAGTCATATCACCCAGATTCAAATCCAGCTCTGCCATGTATCAGCCATCTGATTTTGCATAAACTACATACCACTCTTTGTCCTCCCTTCCTCTGTAACAGAGGAAGGGAGGGAACTATGATTATTTAATAATCATCATTACTTTCTTGATCAGTGACTGTGGAGCTTGGCAATAAGAGAGATCACATGCCACACATTTCTCCACCAAGGATCCTGAAACCTGGTAGCTTTGTGTTTTGTTGTTTGCAGAGTGAAATGGATTTGAAATTTGGAGCTGGGGCAGAAAGAGAATTTGTAGGAAGGGAAAGATTCTAGCCAGCTCAGTGAAAGCGTCAAACCAGAATGGCCTCCCAGTTGCCTGGAGGGAGGGAGGGAAGACTACTCTTCAAAATCAGGAATGATAGGACTCTTATTTCCTACTCCTTTGGGGCTTGGAATGTCTCCTCACTAAATCTTTCTGCAGGGGGAAAAAAATCTTTAAAAGGAAGGAATTCTGACACAAGCTACAACATGAATGAACCTTGAGGACATTATGTTAAGTGAAATAAGGCAATCACAAAAAGACAAATACTGTATGATTCCCCTTCTATGAATTAACCTAGAATAGTCAAATTTATGGA